TTTAAGGGGAACGATCATACAGACAAAATAATATACTTAGGATTTGAAATTTACACGACATTCAACTAGTTATATGATGGGGTTGTAAAACAAAAATCTATTGTCTATAAATCATTGAAGATATATATTAAAATCGGAGTAATTTCAATAAGAGTGACTTGAATGCATCTTAAAAAAAAATTTTTAATTTTAATGTGGATTTATTAAATAATAGTCAGAAAATAATGAGATATGTGTATATATAAACAAGTCACAAGTTATTTCTCTAAGTGTATATAAAGTGTAATCAAGAAGATAATAAATTTTTTAAGTTGTACACAAAATTAATTGATTCTCCGTGTATTCGCAGTGAACAACCTTATAAGAGCACGTTCACATAAAGCCACAGCTCTTAGCCCGCACAATTAAACTCTGCTTAAGCTTTGATGTTTGACATAAGCATTTTATACGATATATCGCTGAGTTGTCTCTGATTAGAATGTAGTTAATTATGTGTATGTTAATAGATCCTGTTCTAGATATGCACCCCAGCTAGATATTTGAACAATTACGAGCACGTACCCGTAATATATATGTATGTATATGTTTATATGTATTTACCCTGACACTTGCAATGGCGAACCTTGCACCACTTCTGATTGAAGGCATTTCATTGCCAGAGAGAGAGATCAGCATTTTAGTCACTGCATAAATAGAGACAATTCACACAGTTAACTGGCAGCCAGACAGGTCGCCCAACCAGATCTATTCTAACTAATTACTGGACTAGCCGCGGCACACAATGTGTGCTAGTTCTATACTTAGCCGATGCTCTTCCGGATCTGAATTACGCTACCTGCCCACTGAAAGGCAGCTGTAAATTAGCTAATAAATAATACTTGGAACACGTGTGCACTGCAAAAAATAATCTGATTAGAATGGGTGATTTAAAAACTGAACTCTGAGAGTAATATGTATGTATTATATAAAACATGTAGCTTAGAATTGAATTTAAAGCTTTGCAAACATCACCAGCAATTCGGCAATAGAAATTTAATCACAAAGCAGAGACTTCATAGAGTCTTCTAGATCAAATACAGATTGGTGAGGCTTTAAAAAAATTTATTTAACAATGCCACACTATTCATATAATAAAATTCATAGTTAGTATATATATGTAAGTGTATCAAGCTCTAAAAGTTAGATCACCTTAAAGTATATTTCAATTAGAAACGAAAACTGAAAGTTTGCTTCTAAAAGAATTCTCTTTTTTATCTCAAAGTTATTCTATATAACTTTCTTTGAGTGTACCCTATAATAGCAACTCGATATATGCAGTTTAAAGTAGTTCAACAATTGCCCGCAATTAGTCTTACGATATTTATAGCTAGACCTTATGATCTATCGTAGTTGCTTAAAGTTTTTATCCATAATTAGGCTAAATTGCATAGGGGGAAAAATATTCACATTTGAATATGAATATGCAGATAGTGGGTGTAACCCATTAGCTCGGCCTGGGGGTTCGAAAACTAACCTCTGATATGCTTAGTTCATAGTCAAATAATATATGCTGTAAATGCGCCTAAAAGTGTGCTACACAACTTTGCCAGCCAGGCAACCGAAGGAACTTTTTGATGCTGAAGCAAAACTTTGAGCTCGACTAATCACTTGTTAAGTTATTTGTTAAGGCATCTACGGTTTGTGCGCCAGTACACAGCGAGAGAGAGAGAGAGAGAGATAGTGTGAGAGAGAAAGGGAGAGGGGCGGGTTTGTTGGGTGGGGAACAGCATGAGATGGGCTTGGCTTTTGGGGCCAACCAAAGCATGTTTGGCATGTTAGCTATGAGTTATCCCAGTAGCCTCTGCATCAGCTCGCTCGCTCACTCTAATTGATTTCTGCCAGAGATATTTCAAAGAAATTCTCTGCAAATTGGCTATGCATAATTTTGGAACTTAAAGCAGCTGATTAGTGAAGGGGCGTGGATGGGCACAGTTGAAACTGTGTGTGTGTGTGTAGTTAGTGTAAGCATAATTGAAGCTTAGATTAGGTATTTCTATTATGTCTAATGCTCAAATGTAAAGATTTTTTTTTATAATATATGTCAGAAAATAACATAAGTTCAATTGAAACAGTTCATAAGATGTCTATGTTCTATAGATCATTCAAATGGGAATTCAAGATACAAATCTAGTTTAATTTAGTTCGAAAACAGATAAATATACTTCACATGTTTTTAATGAAACACGCAAAGAACAGATTAAAGAGCACAGCGCAAAGAGAAATAATTAAGTGTACTCAGCAACTAGTGGATACCCAACTAGCAGATACCCTGCTCTAACATGTGTTTGAAAGTGTTTTTAAGCATCAGCTTAATTACGTCACCGAACGAATTAGCGCTGAGCATTTGCAGTTAATTACAATAAGTTACTGTTAACCATTTGACTGTGATTTGAATGTGGTGGGTTATGTTTTAATTTTGAGTTTCAGTTTTGCATTTAAGAGGCCATTCGCGAACCCATATATTATAACGATGCATTCAATTAAAAAAAAAAAAAAAAACAAAAACCCAAAAAATAATATGCAATTTCCGATGGCTAATTAACCCCTCTGATTCGCGAAGGTCGAAAGGGAAAGATTTTAAACAAGAGACTGGTTTCCTCTATTTAAATGAACATATATTATCTTATTTATACATATGCTTTTTATATTTTATATAAATTAAGTTTTCAAAAAATCCTCTAGTATATTTTTGATTGGGGCTTATAAATATACGTCTGCGGCATGCTCGACTTATTAGCATTAGGTTTTTGGGGTTGGGCGCAGATTAAAATTAATGTCGCTAAACAAACTGATTAGTGAGGTGCGAGAAAAAGGCGTCACAGCCAATAAATATCAATAAATAATATCAATTAGCATTTGCGGAATAATTTTATGCCAAAGGAACTGATTTTTTGCTGTTGGATCTCGAGAACATTGAGGTAGCCAAGTTTTAAGTGGATTTTACAATTTATGAATGGGTTAGAACTGAATGAATACATATGGAACACAGTCAAGGTTAATAAATAAAGTAAATCATATGATGAAAAGAGTTTGTATATAAAATATATGCTGTATAGACAGGGAATATAAACAGCTAGTTGCTATTTTCCTTGCCATTTTTTATTTAATTTCCATTGATAATATATATTAATTTAATATAATTTTACTGCTTAAATTAATTTAATTACGCGCATTTGCATAGGCAATATCCATTAATTTTAGTTCTCTTTTGTATGTTTGCATTTTTTTGTTAGCTCTATTTTCTGTTTTTGTTATGCATGACATGTTATTAATAAACATTATTGTTATTTTTTACGGCTTGTTTTGACAAAAGGAATACCACAAATATGGCCAAAGAATTGAGTGTTTTTTTATTTTGCTTTGTTTTTTTTTTATTTATATCATTTATCAAAGCAAAGCAGCAAAACAGATGGCAAATAATTTCCGGTAAAATTTCAGTTGGTAAATCCAGAGACCCTTTTTTTCTTTCTGTTTTGGCCCCTTTATTAATGTTACAAATTAATTTTTTTTTTACAAATATTTGTTTATTTAAAATGAATGCAATTATTTAACATATTTATATATGTTTTTTTTTTTTTTTTAAGATAAGTCCAATTATATGCATTTGCCGTTTTGGTTAATTGCAAATTATGAAACCTGTAAGGGCTAAATGTGATAAAAACTTAATTATGTTAGTTTTGAGATAACCTGTATTGATGTTTTGGTTAATTGCAAATTATGTTAGGTATGGGCAGTAAAGTGGTTAAAAGAAATAAGAGTAGACTGAAATAGAGATACCCTGCACGCATTTAAAATTGGCACTGGCTTACTTAAATAATCATAATTGATTATTTTGCATTATATTATATTAAATATTATAAAATCTATGTAAAAATGTAAAGTACTTCTGTCTCTATAGCACAGCTTCAAGCCGAGAAAACTCTACAGAATCTTTATGTACTTTGTGTAGAGGTCATTTTTAAGCTTAAAAGTGCAGTTAGTTAGTAGTTAAATCAAGTTAAGTTTATGATTTTCTCGCCAGCTTTTTGCAAACTTGAAAACTACGCGTTTACCTTGAAGCGTGGCTACCTCCAGTCTCTATTCAAAACAGAGAAATATTTAAACAAATTCCCCCGCCATCAATTAAATTACAAATTGCCAACTCCAACTACTAATGCAATTTATTTTTAATTGCAATTAATCCCACTGCAGAAAAATTATAATAATATTCAAGTTCTAGACATGTGTATGCGTGCAAAAATAGTTGTTGTGGCACATTATATAAAATTCTGGGAATTCCTTTATCTAATCCACATACTCTGTGTGGCGATCAGTGAATCACATTTTATGTATTTATATATATTCTTAGCATTTAATCACGTGGCAGCAGTGAACTCATTGTCATAAATAGGGTATGCATTTAAGCAATTTATTTTATAATATAAATATTACGTTTAACACATTGTTGAACGTTTCGTTATAGTAAACCTTACGTAATTGAGACAATTTTGAGTAGATGTACATACATATACTCTACATTATCGACATATTCGTTTAGAGAACAAAAAATCGTACTCCCCACTCAAGTAGAAATACTTTTAAAACCTTAGAGCATTTACAACATTTTTTATACGGGATACCCTGTAAATATTTGCTACTGTCTTAACATTAAAATCTCCCCTGGATGTGTATTACAATATAAATATTCAATATTCTATTAATTTTGTATAGCGTATAAATATTAACAAATTTTTAATTATTGAAAACTTCCGCAAATAAAACTTCTGCATTTTATTTCTCTCCCAATACATATTAACAAAACTAATGTTAGTTGAATATACCTTGCCCATACATTCTACAGAGTATTTTTCATAATAAACAGTTAACAGTTTTGTCGTTTTGACTTTGTTTTCGATTCTCTTTTGGGACTCATTCGTTATTCATTCCTTGACTCTGTCATTTTAGTCGACCTTATTCTTTCGTTTCGTACGCACTTTAGCAACTTATTTTCGTATATTTCACTTGAAATAAAATAACTTAAGTTTTATTTGGTTTTATTTTTGTTTTACTGTTGTTTGTTGTGTGTTTTGCTTTTGTTTCTTTTAACGAGCCGAAGGCACGAGAGAAACGTTTGTACAAATATGCAAAAATTATATAAAATAAAGTGAAAAAACCGTGAATGTTGAATAAATTAAGTAAATAAGCGCTACACACATATATTCATTTCTTTTTTTGTATTGCTGTTTTTTTCTTTTCTTTTTAATTTCCAGTTTGCCACTTCACAAGTCTTTGGAGTTTATTTTTGTTTATCTTTTGTAATGTATAAAATAAAAGTGCATCAGGAATTGTGAAAATATTTAATTCAGAGTTTTCGTTGAGTGCATTTCGGAGCGAGTCGCGTACATAAAAAACAATTTGTGAATATACAATATAAAACTACATAATATACATTAAGGTAAAAACTTCACAATTATTTATTTAGTTAATTAAACAATTTCTTTACAAAACGTAAAATTACATTTTAATACAGTTTTAATTTTTAATACATCAATTTAAGTGATAAAAAATTTGGACAATATTTATTAAACATAATAAATATTCAAAGATTACGAAAACAAACATAAATAATAACTTTAAAAATATTAATAAAAAAATACGATATATAAATAAAATATTTAAAGAATATAGAATAATTTAAAAATATTTTAGAAATTCTTAACAATACATTTAAATTAGTTATAAACAAATTCTAGTTATATACAGTCTCAGTTGATTTTGCGGCCAGCTTCATTGCTCTGCGATCTCTTTGGCGACGTTTCTTTTCTGTTTCATGCTTTAGCAGCACTTTCTTTCTCTCCTGTTTTTTGTACTCTCAACATACATGACATCATTTCAGTTTATTTTGTTTTTATTTTACAAATCATGTTTAATCATTCTTCCTTTTAGATATGGGTCCATTAGAAAACTTGGTTTTGCTGTGGGTTGCTTTGTATAGATCTGATGATTAATTATCTAGTTAAGATTAGAACATCATTGTGTTCTTTTCTATTCAATCTGTGTGCCAAATAGAGAGGTTGTTAAGATCTGAGAGGCATACTCAAGCGCAAACATAAAATGAATTGTCTAAGTGCTATACATTGTTAAGAGTCTTATACTCTATACAAAGTAAATTATGAGACAAGGTCTTTGGGTTTTTTGCCACACTTTTGCTTGATAGCTTTACAAGTTGTAAACTTTTTGATTTCCCTTCACCTGGCAACAGACCTCTTGATAATTCTCTATATCACTTGAAATTAATAATCGAATAAATTATCATCGATTGATTAAATATGATTTTTATACCATAATCTTACGGTTGTTCAAAGCTATTTTGATTCTTATCAACGTACTTTTCGTACTTCTAGGAATTTTATCTCGAATTAGTAACTGATAGAATTTTAAATTTATATTATAAGTATTTGCCAATAATTCTGTTATTATTTTAAAATGTTTATAAGAGTGAAGCATAAATTATAAGATGACAGAAAACAACTGTAACAGATATAAGAGCGCGAGTAATAGTATAAGGAGTCAATGCCAGACAGTTATCAATAAATTTTTTATGAGTGAAATATAAGTGATATGCAAATTTGGTATAAGAATTATCAGAGAGTATAAGAGTTGTAGCAGAATAAGGAGTGTATTCCAAACACATTCATATACTTACATATATCCAATATTATTATAGTATTAGTAGTTTAAAACGAATTAATCCCCATAGCTAAGCATTAAAGTTAACTCTTACATAATCATTACGGAGATTTAAATAGATTTATTTTTTGGGTTGGTTGGCTTATTTTTTCGAGCTGATGAGCATTCGCTCGTAATTAGCTCGCTTGAGTAACCCTTGCAACTGGCTTTGACTTTTTCGCAGCCGGCATGCAAATGTCAAGAATCTTTCCCTGCCCCCAGCCGAGTCATAGGCAACGTCAACTTCGTACGGCTCCCCATTCAAGAATACACCTCTCCCCACCGCACTACCCACTCGCTCTTCCCATTCTGCTGTTCGTGCATACGAAATGCACGGCATACGGTGCTTCAAAGTCACAAACAATTTTCAAGCCACACTGAGCACTCAACAAGCCGCATTAAAATACAAGCTATTGTAATTGTTATAAATGCCTCGCCGCCTCCTCCTCCATCTACTCCATTCTCAGCCACCCAATAGATGAACAACGAATCTTCCATCCAGTTTTATTATTTTTTATTATATTTTCTCTTTTCAAATTCGTCATTTTGTAATGAGAAATGTTCCATGAACAAACAGTTGTTACCTGCCTCTTCAACTAAACCCAAACTTTCAAAAAACATAACAAAAAACATGTATATATTATATTGTTTGTTATGCTATTTGTATTGTGGAGCGAGTTCAGTGACTTTGCCGGCTTTTAACTGTAGCGAATGATATAGTGGGTCTCGAATTTCACAATTTGCAATTACTAGCTGACAGCGGAGATGATAATTGTGACGATAACAAAAGTTATATTTCCTATTGTAATGAGGCTGCATTATATTCATAATTTCGCAGTAGTCATTTAAGATAACTAACTAATTCCCTTTAGAAGAGGGAATTATAAGTAACATGCAACCACAGCTTAGGTAATGTAATATATTCTAACTGCTGCTGGGCTGTTTAGTGACCTACAAGTATACTATAAGAGAGAAGTTTGAGTAAGAAACGTATATATAGAAATAAATTGTAATAGATGTATTCGGACTCAGTGTCTCCAAAGCATTAGACTGTGGTAGGAGTAGTAGTTTGTAGTTTTAGTTGTAGTTGCAGTAATGGTATACAAAAGTTCTATAGCGGTAGCTAGTAAGAGTATAAGAGTCTTTGTATAGTAAAGTAGTAGTGCTATACAAAGTAATAGCAAATACACGTAAAAGATAACTAATGGAGAAGGCAATTTAAGTAGTATAGCAGTAAGTTATAGGAGTATAAGAGTAGTATATTACTACGGCAACTCTTAACTGATTTCCACTTTCACTCTTCTACTGATCTGCGCTTCTACTCTTTCCTTAGAGTGTGAGAAAGAGAAGAGGCCTAAAGGAGTATAGGAGTAAACGAGAATAAGGGTATAAGAGTATAAGAGCATTAGAGGATTATATCAATAGAGCATAAGAGCTTAGAGTATACGAGTAGAGAAGCCTATATGATTAATGGAATAGAATTAGTTAAGAGAAAGATGTCATAGTTAAATATAAGCTGAATTAATATTGAGCATAGAAGAATAATAGAAAATAGTACCAAAATGATCTGAAGGCCCCAGTAGCTAGTGTTTAGCCTTAAACTTGTAAAAACTCTAACATCTAATAAATAAATATCTGAGTAAAGCACAAATTATCTACTTCTAGGTATATAGGTTGTGTATATCAGTTGAGCTTGATATACTTTGTTCCTATCTACCAAATTGTTTGCTATATACTATATTTGTTTTTATAAACTAGTCAAATAGAGCTATAGCTACTGTTATGCCAATTTGATTAGGTCTGTTTTCGAGAGCAAAATATCTCTAATTTGATGGACAACTCTATCCAAATATGAGCTACTGAAAATTCTCCACCTCCTAAAGTAAACAATTTAGGATTAATAATGCCGTAAGCTATGCCCGAGATTATACCCATTATATATATAATTAAGCGAGTGTAATAATAGGATAGAACGGTCTAAATTGTGTGTGGGTTGTTTGTGTGTCACCTTTCTGTAGTCTTATCATAAGCAACCTTAAATAACATTTAATAATAATGGCTCACATTAAAACCCCCCGCAATAACTGTAATCAAGTGAACTATATGCGATATGCCAGTTAACGATTGTGAATTCTCGTCACGAGTCGCTCGTGCCTAAAGTCTGTAAATATTTGCTCGAGAACGCATACATGGAATAGATCATAAATTATATATGCCGCAGTGAAGTAGACCAAAGGGAAAACTGAAATGGAAAACTGAAATAATTGCGGATGCCAAAAACTAAACTTTGATAAGTTTTGTAAACTATTGATGCAAGTTTTTTAGTTTTATGAAACCGCTCTAAAAATTTTTAAGGCGCCTCTGCATTTGAAGGGAAAGAAAGTACTTCACTCTTTATCTAAAAAAAAAAAAAAAAAGCATTGCAAGTACTTTTACATTCCAATTATCAAGGCAGACATAAACAAGCCTAAGATAATGCCAAGAGTTCAAGATAAGAACCAAAAAAGAGCGAGAGAGTTTGCAAGAATGAGAGAGAGAGAGAGAGAGAGAGAGAGAGAGAGAAAGACAGAGGGAGAGAGAGAGAAATAATAGCCAATCTACAAGTGCCAAATAGAGTCTGTGTTATCAAGTCGTCGACACAACATGGAAATTATGTTCGCCTCGACTAAAATCGTTATAATGTGCAATTATCTCTTATCAGCAAGTCTGGCAGAATGCTTCATAGATGAATGGTGCCTACTTTAATTGCGATCGCCATAAAGGGAATCAACTTTTATGGCACAGGCCGACTTTGCACTTGCCAAACGCGTGTTTCCCCCAGACTTTTGGGTTCTGAGTGGCGAATATACTTCAGATGTCTGGCCAGATGAAACACCATTTGCGCATTTGGGAAGTCATATACTTTGATATTTTCTATATTTATGGCAAATTATATGACGAAAGCTGAACATTATATTGGGAGGCGGATCATAAAAACGAAAACTAGAATTTATAATTTTATGAGTCAAATTAAATAAACGAGCCTTAAGGTTATCAAAGGAAAGAAAAATAGGCAATTGAGAAGAAAATCGAAATGTAAATATATATGATTATTGGTAGCAGTTTAACATTTGTCCAACGCGTGTTTAGTTAGGCCAAGACTTTGAGACTTCTGACCAGATGATATATAAATTTTGGTATTTTCAATGTTTATGGCACTTCAGATGCAATAACCAGAAATATCTGCAATTGTCTTTTATTGGGGTTGAGCTATAAAAAAAAAGCTGAAGAACTTTATGATCGATTTTTTTTTTTTTTTTTTGGCTTAAAGATTATGAGAACGAATCCAAGGTATTTATAATTAGTCGTTTATATACATATCTTGCTGGATTTATTATTAAAGGTCAAAAAAACAGTTGCATATAGATAATAAATTTAATAAATATCTATCTATAAAGAATATCCTTGAAATCTTTTCTGAAGACCTCTTAAGCGTGTTTTCGAGATCAACAATTAAAGAGTTTATGGACAGTTGTTAAGTATTTAAGTAAACAGTAAATTCAACTGACGTCAAAGACCAAAATGCAATCGAAAATACCTGTACAAATAGATATTTTATTTGTTGCAGACAAATAGAAAACTGAAATTTATGATGTTTTACTATAAATCATGAGAGCGCGAAAAAGTATAGAACTCTACTTTTATATACTCGATGTTACAATGTAGACATATATGTATGTATAAAAA